TAAGTTAGAGTCACTGTCTGGCCTTAAAAGAAGAACTAAATTATAGGGACATATTTCAGTTTGTTTCCACCAAAGCGTACGCTACGGTTGATAAGATTATGACTGACACATTCTCACTGGCAAACCCTGGGATGTCGCAAGGTTGTGGTATTATAATTACAACTCTGTCCCCTTCTTTCCCTTCCCAAAGAACCATTAAAATACACTGAAAGACCGGCATCAATCTGCTATGCTTTTTAAAGAAGATGGATTGCACGCCTCAGCCTTTAAACTGACGGGGACACAGAGCTGCGTAACACGTTCGAGGGATAACAGGACACCGTCCAAACATCACACCACATAGACTCCTCACATGTGGAGGTCCTAGGACTGAGAAAGAGCTAATAAGGACACGGCATTGAGCATTCAAACACTCCCTGAGTTCTCCGCCTCTTTCAGTATCTACATGTAAAGTTTATATGTGTAAAGCTGAATGTGATATGCAAACCCAGCACTCAGGAAGCTGAAGCAGGAAGAGCACTCTGAATCCAGGGCCATCCTAAGCGACACAGCAAATACCACGCTAGCCAGGGCTATACAGTAAGACCTTGTCTCAAACAAAACGGAGGAAAGAGCATTTTTATCACTGAGAAGACAAATGTGAACTTTCCTGGGAATTCAACTACAGATTGTTGAAATATTTTCTCTCTTCTATCTGCTCATAAAAACCATAAAAGATTTTTAATACATTCTTTCTATACATAAATAAATATGTGTATATAACTTAATATTGTACAATTTGGACTAGGTATTTTGAAAGTATATGAAGGGCTGGAGAGATGACTCACCAGCTAGGAACACTAGTTGCTCTTCCAGCAGACTTGGATTTAATTCCCAGCACCCACATAGCGACTCACAACTGTCTATAACTCCAGTTTCAGGGTCTCCAGCACTGCCTTCTTCTGGCCTCTCTGGGCACCAGACATACACGTTATACATGCATACATGAAGGCAAACACTCATACTCATAAAATAATAAAACAAATTTTAAACAATAAAAATATCTCCTTATTTTAAAAATTACTGTGTAATAAATACCACTGTCATTAATTCACGTCATTTGGAAAAACATTTTAAGAAAACCCCTAGGCTTATGTGCTCTAAAAAGAAGTAGTTAACAAAATAGCTAATAAAACTCAATATTAAGAAAAAACAAATGCTAAAGCTAAATAACAGATAAAAATAATGAGAAATAACCATATATTAAAAATAAAAAAATAAAACAGACTCACCAGGGGGAATGTATTGCTTCTCTTGTTGTCATAAAATGTTGAAAATGCTCATTTAAGAAACTTAAAAATATCCATATGGCCTTAAAAAAGAAATTTGTAAAATAAACCTGCTGGTTTAAATGGTGTGTGATTATATCTTCAGAAATGTGAAGTGTTCGGAATAAGAATAAACACGTTTGTTTTCGTTTTAGAGATCAAATGGAGACCACAGATTCAAGACCTGGGAAATTCCTGAGACTCCTCACCCTTGACTGGTGACCATCGTGTTTGCTGCTAGGCGATTCCACAGACACTCAATACTCCTAAATGGGTGTTTCAAACACCACCTGCTGAAGAAATGCACAGGTACGTATGCAATGCGGAAACTCTTCCAGTGTCAAAGGCCAGCTTTCCACACACACAGCTGAGGGAGGCGGGGGGGGGGGGGGGGGGGGGGAGCACTCACCCTCTCAGAGACACAGCTGCAGTCTGGTGAGCCTGAGGACAGAATGGTGATGCTCAAGGCAGAGACAATGACGCTGCTTGGGCTTTCGATGCCTGTTAGCTCTCTTGTCTTCTCAAAATGAAGGTGACTAACTCCCCCAAATGTCATACATTTTGCATTTCATGGCATGTTCTTCCCCTCTCTCTCGGTACAGCACTACTCAGACATTCCAGCCACTGGCCGGGACGTGACATAATTATGGTAATTCTGTCTACCATAATTAGGGAGATGGCATTTGATCTGATCAAACATTTTTAGAATAGAAATCCAAAAATCACAGAAAGTTTTAAGCATGCAAAATTTAAACTAAATTTCCAACAAGAGAATTAAGGAGAATTGAGGCTCTTTTTGCGATTGATGCAGGATGATATACTTGGAATACAATGAGCTTACCATTGCTGTGACAAAACACCATGACCAAAGGAACTTGAGGAAGGAAAGGTTTATTGGCTTATGCTTCCACATCACTGGAGGAATTCAGGACAGGAACTGGAGCCAGGAGCTCATGCAGGGGTCATGCAGGAGCCCTACTTATTATCTTGTTACTTATGGATTGCTTTCTTATAGGACCCAGAACTACCAGCCCAGGGGTGGCACCGCCCACAATGTCTAGGTCATCCCTCATAAATCACTAATTAAGAAAAGTCCCTACAATCCGACCTGCAGCCTGATCTTAAGGAGGCATTTTTCTTAGTTGGGGTTCCCTCCTCGCTGGTAACCCTCACTTGGGTCAAGCCGAGTTAAAACTTAGCCAGCACACTGCGATCCACAGCATCTAAGGCGATTGGGGTGACAAAAAGCTGAACAGCCAACAGCTAGGCAGGAGGAGATCAACACAGGAAGAAGTCCATGAGACCTGGGGGGAAGCTGGACATACAGAATGAAAGAAGATAAAAAGCCATGTGGCTAAACCTAGATTGATATACTTGGGGTTAATTTAAGTTCTAAGAGCTGGTGGGACAAGCCTAAGCTAAGGCCAAGTTTTCATAATTAACAAGAAGTCTCCCTGTCATTATCTGTGAACTGGTGGCCCAGAGAAAAACCAGTCTACACAGGCATGATCACGGGGAAAAAAACAAAAAACAAACAAAAAAAAAAAAACGAGATAATGCAGAATATTCCTATAAAACAGAACAAGCCTGAAAAACGCCAGGAGAGGCCAGGGTAAGCGCATATCCAAAGCCTGGCACAAAACAGGCAGCCATAAACACCAGAGAGGGGACATTTGGGCAAGGCTGAAATGGAGGAACAGTGGCGTCGTGGGAGCAAAGAGGAGCTGAGATAAAGCAGGTGGCGGTGACAGCAGGGAACTGCCGCGGTGGCAGAGGCGATGACGATGAGGGCACCAGAACAGGCATACATGGCCGCCAGGCACCGCGAGGCAGGACTGGACCTGACTGTGAAAAGCCTTGAAAGCCAAGCCAGGAAAGGGAACTTGAATTTGCGGCCGACAAAGACCTTTAAAGGTGGGGGTATAAGGACACAATTTGTACTGGAGAGCTTGCATTGGGCTGGAACAGGAAGGAAGCCACAGACGGGATAGTCAGTCAGAAGACAACCACAAGGCCAGGCAGGAGATGCTGAAATTGTGCGTCCGAATTAGTGGTGGGAAGCAAGGGAACCGAGGGAAGAGAGCCAAGTCAGTGCTTGCTTGAGGGGCTGGAGAGCTTAAGGCTCCCAGCCTGGAAATCACACAGCTGGGAAAGCCAGTTTCTAAGTTACAGAAGAGAGAAAGTGTAGGGTTGGGGACCACAGGAATTACTAATATTTTGTGTGCACTGAGACCAGGACGGCTGGAGAATACAAAGGCAGAAACATCTAACCGTGTAGCTGGATATCCAGCGCAGAGTTTGGAACAGGAAGCTGAGCCAGACACTCTGGTGTGACTATAATAGCGGGGTAGCCAAAAGCAAGGCACAGACGAGACGCTCAATGAGAGCATGAGAAATGATCTCAGAGGCTCCTGTTACAAAAGAAAAGAGGGCTAGAGAAGCACAGTCAGAGCCTGGGCAAAAGTGCGAGGAAAGGGGGTGACAGGAAAGACAGAGTGGGAGACGTGGGCTGGGGGAGAGGAGAGAAAGTGGCCTGAGGCAGGAGAAACAGAACACAGAGGGTCCTCTGAAGTCCCGGCTGGTGTAGGAGGCGTCTGTGGGAAGGCAGTGAAGATCCTAACAAGACTGAGTACTTGAAGAAAAAGGAAGGCTGCAACTGTTGATCTCTGTCCACTAAAAACTCATAGGTCTAAGCTTTGACTCTGTTATTTCTGAAGTGCCCTTATTTAGGAAGGAGGAAAAAAGACTGTTGATAATAGAACTACATTACGAGGAGCGTAGTAATAAGTGTGGCGGGGCTGCGACCCCAGCACCCCGGCCGCCTGGCTAGCTTATGCCTGAAATGACAACACACAAACTGTATCCATTTAAACACTGCTTGGCCCATTTCTATCTAGCCTCTTCTAGGCTAATTCTAACATATTAATTTAGCCCATTTCTTATCATCTATGTAGCACCGCTAGGTGCGCTTACCGGGAAGATGCTAGCCTAGGTCCATCCTGGGTCGGAGCTTCAGTGCGTATGCCCAGGAGAGCGAAGCAGGGCCTCTGCTCCAGAGGGTGAGTCTGAGCTCACTTCCTCTTCCTCCCAGCATCCTGTTCTGTTTACTCCTCCCACCTATGTTTTAACCTATCAGGGCCAAGGAGTTTCTTTATTGCTTAACCAATGAAATCAACAGATTGATATATGACATTCCCACATCAGAGGAGGCTACCCTGGAGCTGATCAGGCACCTAAGCAATCTGAAAGATGCCCGGATTTTTTTGTGTGGGGGGTGGGGGGGTGAAAAAGTTATTGCCAGTGCTTGCTATGCAGAGGTAGAAGGATCCTGAGTCCAAGGATAGGTTACATAGTAAATCCCAGTGGAAGGAAGAAGGGAGAGAGAGACTGAAGGCCGGAGGAGGGAGGGGGAGAGAAACAAACACTCTGAGGGAAGATGACATAAAGAAACCAGAAGAATCCAGCATCCACAAGCCAAGGAGAGGGAGCGAAGGAGAGCTCCTTCTCTCACAGCTTGGAGAAGGCACTAACTTTGTCAACATCCTGATTTCAGACTTCTGATCGCCAGAAACGTGTGTTGTTGAAGCCACCCAATTTGCCTCACTTTGCTCAGAGAGCCCTAGGAAATGACTCTAGAGTGAAAGACATCTAGGGACAAGGAGCAGGGCTGAGGGGAGCAGGAAGGTCAGCGACACAGCTACTTGCGGACAAAGGGCTGGCTGCTCAGCTGCTTGAGATTGCAGCAATAGCAGGAACTGAGAGATGCATTTGCAGAGGGATTTCCTCAAGCAGTCCCTGGCAGCCACGAGGTGAGAGGAGAAGACAGGTCAAAATCCACGCTCAGAGAGATTACAAATGACAGCAAAGGGGTACAACCCTGATAGCACTGTCAGGAGACAAAGATGCCCAGGGTGAGAGGAAACAAGGAGAGGTAACGAGGCAGAGCTGCGGCAGCGGGACCGGTGCCAGCAAGGACAGGGAAGAACCGCAAAAAATGCAGGAATGAGCAGGAAAGACTGGCCCACTTCCTCTGGAAGCTAGGGGAGCAGAAGGTGGCTTGGCGCTCCAGGCGGGGAGTGTGGACTGCCGAATGCCAGCTGTGGGCCCACAGACACTGGGAGGCCATGACAGAGAGAGCTACAACGACTGGAAGACAGAGTGCAGGAGCACCCCCGCACCCCAGCGCGCTGTTCTCATGAAGTCAGGTACTGCTGCACTTATTATCTCAAGCATGGTGTCTTTATATGAGTAGCAGGGACCATGCTCTAGACTGGAAGTTAAAGGTGTGCACTGTCCCCATCGGTCCCCAAGAATTATTACAGTCAATATAGACTGTAAGGCGGTCTCTAAAATAGACTTCTGGGTACTCACAGGTGAGATTTTAAAAATGAAGATTTTTATATATTTTGTACAAGAGGTGAAAACTATTAACATCAGTCCTGGGAGCTCCTCTGGGTTACAAACATGACAGAGGCAGGCGCGGCGAGAAGGCTCAGATTCTGTAAGGCTTTTCTTCACCACAAAAGAAGAGATGAATTATTTGGATGGGAAATACCATCCTCAAAATGAAACGCTTCACGCCTCAAAGATCTATCTCAAGCATTCGAGTTTCTGTGCCTCCCATCCGTAAGCCAAGGAGGGGCAGCATGTTGAAGCAGGGCAAAAACAGAACTACACAGCTTTTCTCATTAATCAGTAACAACTCATGAACTGCTGTAACTTCGGAAGTTTCTAATCCTTCCTATGCGAATTCGCTCACGTTTACTGAAGCGTTTGTCTCCCACATGCAAGACTTTGTATATGTTAGCTTTGTATACAGTCATTAAATGTAAAGAATGCATACAATTATTGAACAATATTAGTGAACAATAATAATTGTAGTCGCTTATCTTTTGTATAGTAGGCATCATAATTCGTCAAAAAAAAATCATTAAACATAAAACTGAGATTCCGTAGGAAGGCATGGTGTAGGTTCACCAAGACATTCCAAAGTTCTAGACTCTCCCACACTGAGTGACCGGTCATCACAGTGTCCCCACCAGGCCCCGTAGAAACAATGGCATAAGAAACCAGCTTTCTTTTACCTTCCTTCTAGTTGATCTGCTCCCCTAGTATGTACCTATCTAGTTCCTTCGTTTTAGCCATGTATCGCACCAAACCCTGCGGATCCAAACTTCTGTTGGTTGTGGAAGTAAGCTTAAAACTTGGAGGGGGAAGAAAAATCTCTGGAAATCCTAGAACTGGTTAGTTCATTCAAAACTTATAGATTCAGCTCACAGTTCATAAACTGGCTACCATTTTACTCAAAGTCCAAATAAATGCACAACGAAGGAAGGGCTGATGACCATCCTGAAAATTTCCTGTCTCCAACTACGAGGGGTTTCAGCCACACCCACTACCTATCAACACAAATGTCTGAAGTCCTCAACACTTAACTGCCGAGCTAGTCACATGTAAACACTCTCTCTCTCTCTCTCTCTCTCTCTCTCTCTCTCTCTCTCTCTCTCTCTCTCTCTCTCTCTCTCTCTCACACACACTCTCACACACACACATGATCCACTTTACATAATTCCTGAATACAATTTCATGCTGTTTTGAAAATCAGCAGAGTATCACAGTCAGAGAATAAATAACTAAAGCATATTTTTTCTTTCCATCGTTCAAGGTCAAACATTCCCACACACCGGAAAGGAATCTTCACAATAATCTTGGAGTAGCACCCACACTCCTGTGGCCAGGCACCCTCTGGCGCTCCCTCTGATAAGGAGCCTGAAGCTCGTAAAACTCCGAGTAAGGAGAGAGCAGCCACACCTTTGCCGCATAGCTAAGATACTGACCCAGCCCTCCAGCTGCCGGACTCCAGTCTCAAACGAATTCCAGGAGACTATAGAGACCGGATTCCAACATGAGGCCAACATGGGACGAGGGAAACAGCCAGAAACCCACACATTCAAGAAAACTTCTACTAGACAATCTGAAAATGATCCTCAAAAAACTGTTACTTCCCATTTATATGAGCACATATCCAGCTCCTCTTAGATTCCAGTAGACTTTTTAAAGTTATTTATTTTATTCTTTATATACATTGGTGGGTCTTGCCTGCATGTGTGTCTGTGCGAAGGTGTCAAAACTCCTGGAGTTGCAATTACAGACAATCGTGAGCTTCCATGTGGGTTCTGGGAATTGAGCCAGGGCCATCTCTCTACTTCCTCCACATGAAAGTCCCCGGCAGAGGTAACTTTGCTACTTAGAATCCTACACTAGAGCCCAGAGCACTTTTGAAGAGTGCAGTCTAACTGTTGGTTCACAAATGAGAAGACCAAGACTAAGACTACGTTAAGAACTTGCCTGGGTAGCTAAGAAGTGGCAGATAGAAGCCTTGCCGTCTCAGCTCATCCCTCTGCTCCTGCAGCAGACAGCCACTCACTCTAACGCACCCTTACTGGATGGGAGCCGCATGCAGTGTGCCCAAGGGTGACAAGGGTGAGTGTGGCATCCTCTGGGAGAGGATTAAAAAAAATGGTGGATTTTAAATAGTACTCTCACCATCTTAGTTTGAAAATCATTACACAGTCTTACATGAAATTTTAGTGGTATATCTGAAACGAAATCTCCTCCATGGCCTTAATTTTTAATTGAACTCTTCCATTGCCCCTGTAGCTCTTCCAACTAAAGAGGGTAGATTATCACAGTTAGCCCATCAATGAAGATGCCCTTGGTGACTGCAGCGGAGATGATCCACACGCTGCCAGTTCCAGCACGCCAGACAGTCTTCGAAGAGCTTTATACACATTAATTTATGTAATCCACTCAAGCCGCCTGAAAGGAAGCTGCCAGCACTGTGCAGACCTGTGCAGAGAGGAGCAGTCGCTCAGCTGCAGGTGCACCAGCATCGGCCCCCGGGCACGCCTGCATCACCGCTGCCCTCCTATGCTTTCCTTAACGAGCTGAAAATTACTCCGGCCCTCTGCCACTCCTCTGGGTCGAGCATTCTATGACTTTCTGATTAACAATGTTAAAAAAGAAAAAAAGAAAAAAAACAAACCTCTGTGCCATGAAAGAAGGGAAATACTGTGTGGGAGCTGGTGATGATTTTGTCCCGAACGGCAGAACGTCTGATTCTACAGAAGTTTCAGAATAAGATCCCAGGAGTATTTGCAGCCTGTGACATCCTTATACACTCCTCTGTCCAGACTCTCGGTTTACGCGCTTGTTTACACAAATGTACATGCGGCTGTGAGACAGACTAACACCATACAAGAAAGGAGGTGGTTTGTGTGTTTTGTTTGTTTGTTTTGTTTTGTTTTCTAATTCCGTACACTGACGGGAGGAGTCTATGAGGACGTGGAGAAATACGCCATGGCTTAAAGGAGAAAAGGGGTATAATAATGGGTTATGGTTTTTAAGCCTGGAGGAAAAAGCAAGAATATTCAACAGTTCTATCTGGAGAGCAGGACTGAAAAGTTTTAGCCTCCTCTCTTTCCTGAAGTCTCTCTTTATGTAGACTTAAATTACTCCCATAATTATAGGGGAGGTTTTTCTTTATAAAGAAAGAAAAGGTGCCCAATAGTCTCACTCTGACTCCTGAATAAATACTCCCTTGAAAACAGATATCTCGGTAACGAAACGGTAGAAATTCCAGAAATACAGGTTTAGGGGAAACTAGTAATATCTACTAGGATGGAAAAGGAAAGCTTCTTCTCTTCCTTCAAGACTAGAGGCATTAATCTTAGGAGGATGGTCCAGGAACGCTGTCTGGGAAAGTTGCTTTGGACTCCAGTAACCCGCTTTATTGAGTGCGGACCAGGAAAGTCGGAACAGGTGCAGCGATGAAGCAACAGATCATGAGAGCCAAATGGCGCTGGCCCCTTCCAGAAATCCTGGCCTGCAGCAGGCTCGCCCTGAGTGGCCCTCCCTGTAGAACAGGACCAATGGCCAAAGGGACATTCCCTGAGCACATATGTCCTTGCCTCACTACAGTGGAGGGGGGAGGATGGCCAGCGCCTTTCATGGAATCTGAGCGTGTTAAACAATCAATGCCAAGGCCCGGCGGGTGGTGGCGCACGCCTTTAATCCCAGCATTCGGGAGGCAGAGGCAGGCGGATCTCTGTGAGTTCGAGACCAGCCTGGTCTACAGAGCTAGTTCCAGGACAGGCTCCAAAGCCACAGAGAAACCCTGTCTCGAAAAATCAAAAAACAATCAATGCCAACCACTCTATGCATTCATGACGCTGTGGGTGTAGAAACATCTCTGTTTACATGTAACTACACACAATGGACACGGCACAGCATGTTCATAACATCCACATGACTGGCCTCATATGTGTACCATGAAATATTTCCCTCGACGACGCCCTGGAAACAGTAACAACAGCTCAGGAAAGCACAATTTTAAAATCCTATTCAGAATGCTTGGTTACCTAGGAACGTAGACATTTTCTTTACCACTTTGTGGCGAGGGAAGAGAGACCCAGCTGATCCAGGGAAACTGGAACAGAAAAAGTCACCTCCTCCTCTGGGAGCCTTGCAGACAATCTGTGGCATCGGCACATCACGCCCTGATTCAGCAAGGTCTGCGAAGGAGCCTTACTGCCCGACTTACCCACAGCTTTGGACTGGTCCCACACGTGTGTGTGGCTCCTCAGGCTCCACCATTAGAGGGAAGGCAGCAACACAAAGGCCGCGTGTGTCTTTTGTTTACTGATTCAGACACACCTCTGGTGATTACTACAACATTCAAATGACTGTTTGAGATTGGAGACTAACGTGGGGTAACAAAAGAAGCAAATGTTGTCTCTCGTGACTTATGGGTTTTCCCCGGTTTCTTAAGTTATCTTTCCTGTTTCTAAGCACGAAGTTGGCCCTAGGACCTATCCGCCTTTGCGTGAGAGGAAGAGATTCGGCCTACCTCGTCGAAGGCGCTGTCATCTTTCTTCAGAGCTAGAAAAGAAAGAGAAAGGAGACCGTTATTGTGACGCCTCCCAAAGAGAGTCTAAGTCCCGGGAAAGAGAAACGGGGTGCAGTGCAGTGTTTTCATCTCAGAAAGCAAAACTGTGCCCCCACCTGAGTACCGGTGCCATGATATAAATACAAAAACTGCAAACGAGAGCGGGCACAGCGCAGCGTGCGTCTGTGAAAGACTTTTCATAAATATGGAAATGAAGCATTCTTGGAAATAAGGAAGAGAAGCCCGCATGACTTTCACTACCGCTTCTGCGGCAGAACATGCTTTAATGGAAGTATAAAAGGAACACAGAGTAATCTCAAACAAATTTCCTCTGCAGCACCTGGGGTTTCCTCCTGTGTGCTGTGTGGACCTCCCACGCCACGTGTGAGGATGACGAACACTCTGCACAGTGTCAAAGTGATATTTTAATGCAAAGGAAAGTTTGTGCGTGGTAATAAAAAAAAAAAACCAGGCATTATCAAATGAGCGCTGTGTGGGATAGGAGGCATAATTCAAATTTTAACATGATGAATTTTTTGAAAATGTTTCACAGAAACTAACAAATACCTCAGATTTATCTTCTATACACTTAACCTTGGAAATGAAATTTGATCTGACTCTAAAGAAAAAGAAAAGAATACAACGCGTAGTTGTCAAATACTGGTTAATTAAGTCCTGTAGCTACAAAGTTTCATAAAGATGAAAAAGCACAAAATAGCTCCTTTCTCTGAAACTACCAGTTGCAGAAATGTTTCAAATCTACAAAATCCTGCCTAGGTGTTTACAGGCCTATACTGGGATGGTCCTAGCCTGGATGAAAAGGCTTGGGTATCCGTTGCTTGAAAGGCCATGCTCTGATAAGGAGCAATGAGAAGGAAATTATTCTGGTAATTAAGTCCTGAGAAATTAGTAAGTCTAAGCAGAAACTCCTTAGCAGAAAGTTATATACTCTAGCTATGTGGTGTCCGGTGTGGTGTGCTGCCACGCGATTTTTGAGATGAGGTCTTATTCTGGAACCCAGTTCGGCCTGGAACTAGCAGCAATCCTCCTGCTTCAGCTTCCCAAGTGCTGGGATTACAGGCTTGAGCCACCACGCCTGGCTTTCTAGCAATCTTGGATCTTTCTAGCAATCTTGATCCTGCTCTGCTTTAGATCATAAATTCGTCTTTGTAAAAGGTCCAGAAGAATGTAGCCGTGGTGCTCAGCCAACAGGTGCAGGCTGACCAAGGCAGCTAAGACACCTAGCACTTAGTTCTTAGTCTTCCCTTCCAGCCGAAAACACACTGCCCACCTTTATCACAAGCTGCCCTGAATTAAAATGAAAGGGGAGGTCCTTGTCCTGGCCTCAGTGGCTGCTCCTGAAATCAGCCACATGCATATTTTCACCTCAGATTTGTCACCTTACAGTAAACCTGAAAGAGGGAAAGGAAGAAGGCCCTAGCTGACTCTACTGGCTAATTTTTACCAGAATGTAACTCCTAATCTCAAAACTCTCAAGCCCGGCCAGCAAAGGTGAGTCTTTCAACTAATATGCTTGTCTGACGAGGCCATTACCAAACATGAGTGACGTAAATATAAACAAATTTCTCCACTTTTCAAAAGGATGAGTATTTTCGACTAGCACAGCCTTCAGACACGAAGTACCATACGAGCACATAATTACAGCTCCGGCTCATCCACCAGTCAGTTAGCAAGAGGGAAGAAGCCACGTGACGAGCCTTGCAGACGCGTGACTCAGAAGACAAACTTTCGAAAATGTTTTATCTACTGTGGCCGCTGCATAAGTGCTGGAAGTTTAGATACCTGTCTTCTCAAGCAAAGATGTCCTGCGGCCGACGCTGTCCCATCGGGGTCGGAAAACAAGGAGTGAAGGCGAGGAAAGAATGAAGTGGGGTGAGGGGTTCTCAAACATTCAGACCGGCCCACTGCTCCCTTCTTAGTTCTGACAGCTTCCCACCATCCTTAACTATAAAGGGTGGGTCTAAGATTAGACAGAAAAGGGGGAATAAAGAAAAAATTATAGGTGTATTTGATAAGCAACAAAGGTCTCTCTGCTGAATGACACGGTCAGGCCCTGTGTGCCACAGGGAAGAACGGATTTAGACTCAATAGATAACTTACGTTATTAGATTAACACCTGACACAGTTTTCTCTAAGTATTGCATCCTTGCCCTAAAAAGCAGTTAATAGTAAAACAAAGACCACGATGTCCTTGCCAGATAGCTATCAAGTCACTGATGATAAACTCTGACCTACACATGCACACAACATCTTGTTATTGATTACATTCTCTGATTGTCATTAATCATTTATGTAAATGTAAAACCACAATTGTCCTCGAGGATATCATGGGACAACAGGCAGATTGTGCTACCCTGGCTTAACAAAAGGATAAATATGAAGTCATTTAATATGATCAGACAGTCTATCTGGTCCTCCGTTCAGACACAGCTCCTAAAAGGCTTCCCGCTCCTCCCCAAGCACAGAGGCAAGATTCTGAGGTGTCCTCCACTGGCGGGTTCGCTAACCTGCACTACAGAATTTCCCACTGAATGGTGGGACTGCCCTTCACGAGCCTGTCTTCCAGCCACACTGTTCACTAACTGCAGAATCTAGCACCAGAAGGCGTGCGGTAATATGTGGGGTTAGCGAGATCTACCTCAGAGGCAAAGAGAGAGAACCTCATAACTTGATATACACTAGCGTTTTCATAAACAAACACCTAATGTATTTCTATGTAAGAATCGTAAACACAGATTCCACGACCAATGATAGCCCCTCTCCCCGCCCCTCTCTCATGCTAGGCACTGAGCTCAGGGACTCACATATCCTGGGAAAGCTCTTACCACTGAGATAAACTCCCAGCCCCAAATTAAAATCTCCTATAGCTTCTTCGGGAAAGAATACGGGACAACAGTTAGAGTGTGTGTCTGAACTTTTAACTTTGTTGTCTCTCCCTCTTCTCAGAGCGGCTCATCACTGACAATCAAATCTAGAAATCTGATTGTCACCTATGGCAGAAGGCAACAAAGCCACAGGAATTCAGCCTAACCACGGCTTCCTCTTTTCACCCACCACATCCTTTAAAGAAATGGCA